ATGGAATTTAAAATATTTAGTTTTTAATGCTCTTCTCAGAAAAATAGAACATTCTTATTAAGTTTCTTCTATACATACGTGCCCTATCTTAATAAAAATAGATTCTAAGTCAATGAATGAGTTTAACACTAACGTCTAACACCTAACGTTCAGACGTATGATTCTTCCTACAACAACCGTTTGAAGCCCATAGTATCCATGAGCTCTTGATTAATTGTAGTTGTTTTTAAATATTTCAAAATTTCAAACTTTATTAAAATAGTTAACAAATATTTTTATAAGTATAAGTACTGTTCATTTTGTCCTTCCACTCCCTACTTCCTATATATGCTTTTGTTACCTTTATTTATATACTACTACTTTGACATTAATCTGGCTGTTTGCTATTAGTTATGTTATAATATTCAGTAATAAAATATAATGTACTTTTAATATATTGTAGTAGAGTTTACTTATCTTACAAGACTTCTTCAATACATTGAATTTTTATATATAAAACAGAATTTTTTCTAAAGATGCCTTTAATGTCTAAGGTACCACAATGCTTTAGGTTCTTAATGAAATTATTTAACACTCTTTAAATTTATTTTATATTTAAATAAAATATTCCTAGGGAATTGCTTTGGTTTACGTAGTTTGTACTCTGAGAATTATTTAATTAAAATAGTAGTGCATTTGTTTTCCTTTTTCTGGTAATAACTGCATTTTAAGAAACTCACAGTGGCCAAAAAGTGACCTTGTATTTACTTTTGAAAGCCAGTGTTTCCTGAATGAAGAATTGCTTGCTTCAATAAATTTGGGTCAAGGAATTTGGTGGTTTCAAGAGAATGAAATAATTAAATATTTTTCACGTTAATATTAAAGTCAAATTGCAAGAAATAATATTTTTATTTCGAATATAAAATTTTTTTATTAATGTAATATAAATATTTAAACAACTGTTTATGTAGGATAATAATAAATCAGTGCTATTAGCAGGAAAAAAAATTTTTTTTTTTTTGTTTTAATTATTTAATTAATTTATATTAGTAATTTATTCATTTCATTTCAAATTCGTCATCATATTCCCAAAAAAAAACCTTACTAAAATAAAAAAAAATATAAGATACGAAATTTTTGAAGAGTAGTATTTTCAAAACTTATAAGCAATTCAAATTTCAGCACTTAATTCAAGCATAAAGTTTGACGTATTATGTATTAAAATTATACAAAATTTTATGCAATTTAATTTAACAATGAAATGGATAATGCAGACAGACATTTTACTAAGAAGATTAATATTTACATATCCTTAGCGAATTCCTTTCCATTGAAATTCGACACACTTTCTTCGCATACGAAAAGGCAGCAATTCATGCCGCAAATGCAAATCCTGCCAAAAGAATGCAAATAATTGCAGCTTGAAAGCTGCAGATAGAATGTGTAAAGAAAAAAAAATTGCATACATAA